TAAGCTCCCAAATAATGAAATTGGAACAATGTTTCATTTAGATGTAAGAAGGAAGGTAGCGTCTTTTACAACTTTAGAAAAAAAATTAGTGGAACTTTACAAGAGTGCACTTTTAAATGTAGCGTTAATTTAGAAGGTAAGATTAAATGAGTGATATATTTTAAATATTAAACTTACGGTGAAATTAGAATTGAGATTTGAGTCAGTGTGAGTTCGGTCCACAGAAATTGGGATGGCTGAAAACACGAGAAATTTGGTCAAATTTCTTTAAAATTTAGAAATTTTACTTTTGTCCAGATTAAACTCAGAAGGGGGAAAGTGAGGCGTCATAAACCCAGGTTATAAGGAACTAGGAAAAGTATCGAACCGTATGCTACGGACTTGGAGATGTAATAATTGCAAAAATCTAAGTAAGCAAATCTGAGTGGAAATAAACACTCAGAGAGGTGTAGGAACCTAACATGCAACCGACGACAACCATTCCAGAAATGGTAGAACACAAGTTTTGGGGTCTTTCCTATGTCCACAACGAACTTCGACCTCTTTGCCAGGAAGAAGAAAAGATGCAACTAGAACAGTTTCAGTTGTGAAGGTCTATCTACCTACTTATGGAAAGGGGAGCGCATTATCAAACGTTTGTTTGCTTTGAAACAATTTTTACCGCAATATCACGTGATTTAATAAGCAAAGTGCTCGAGCCTCACTACTTCTGGAATTTCGAAGAAAATTGGAAGGTTACATGAAACTCAAATACTTTTCAGTATGTGGAAAAGTGTAAGAATGTGATATAGGGAACGGAACCAATTTAAGTTAATGAGAAAAAAGGGAAAGACCTGTCGCGTGATCTGAAATCATATCAAGCTGGTTTAATAGAAAATAGGGAGAAGATTGGATCACTCTAAAAGCCCCATTTAGTTCCCACAATTTCCGCAAACATTCATTCACATCATCCGTAAAAGATTGAAATCTGGTGTGTGTGTGTGTGTGTGTGAGTGTGTGTGTGTGTGTGTGTGAAGCGATATGGTCCGTGAATTTTTAAAGGTAACTTTTGTTTTAACAGTACAATTCACTGATACGTGTAATCATAGCAGATGAAAACTAGTTTTTGAAAGGAAAGTTTAAGATATATTTAAGGCCAATTTCTATTTTTGTCAAGATTTTTTAAATCAAATAAAATCTTTTCAATTTGCACATAAACATTTGCGTTATTTGTCGTTTAAATCTTCAAATTATTTAGCATTTAAATTTTGAATTCAGCCAAGGGAGAGGAAGAGGAGGAAATTCTATGTTTTTTTCAAACAAAAATTGACATTTCGCTCTTAAAGCGATTTTATTTTGTCCTGCGCAAACACTCCTAAACAAACAATAGGAGGAATTGGAAACGAATTGGAAAACAAATGTCTCCTTTTTCACCGGATGACACCAAAAATGAGCAAATAATATATATGGTATTATGAAAGTAAAATTTTAAACTTTTTAAGCCAGAGAGAGAGAGAGGTGTCTCTTACGGAAGAGGGGTTATAAACCGATTAATTTTGGGTAAATAGTCAAGACAGAATGACAAACTGAGCAAATTCATATATTAGAAAAGCATTCTTCAAGAACCATCCAACATATTTAATTTAATTATAAAATAAATTAAATATGAAAAAACTACGTGACTAAAGCTCGTTTTAAAAAAAACAAAGAACCATAATTGACCATGAATTTTAGATACACATGTCTAAAAGTAATTGCAATCTTGAAGACACAATCCTGGGGAGATTTTGCCCACTTCACCAAAGAACAACTAAAATCAACTTTAGTTAATGGAAATCCTTTAATATATTTTCAAAAATAAAATAAACAAATTTCTGCCTATTATAAAAACGTCGGGTCAAGAAGTTTCACTAAATTAACCGCTATAAAATCATGAGAGAAATCTGAAATAAGCCGAATAGGCAGAAAAGACGTATGATAAGATGCTGTGAAAAAAATAAATTAAAAAGAAACATTAAATCGGAATGAAGTACTGAAACTATGAGGGAAATGACAAATTTAAAAGTGATGTATTTCAAAGTAAGAAAAGGTAAACAAGCAATTCATACCACATTCATAAGCAAATATTGCATTTGCAATACAATTATTTATTAAATAATTGAATTATGGGTTCCCCAACTGAAAATCGCACGTGAATTATTCAAAGAAGCAGGTAAGCGCATCTAAACAAAGATTTATTTGCGGGGAAAATATTACACCAGTTAATCAAAGAACGGTAATTCATGAGAAATAGTATCCATCGGAGAAAAGTAGGCACATAGAACCAATGAGAGTTATTGAAAGAAAAGCTTTATTAAGAGGATTAGTAAATAATTATAAACTTGATGAATATTGATTTCATATTTCTCAAATTTCTTAAAATTAAAATTTGGTAATTTGTTTAGTCTGTATTTAAATTGACTCCTGTGCTCCCAGTTTTGAAGAAAATTAAATGACCGAAACAAATTAAATTACAACTCTGCAAGAGGTACGAATCGTATTTTGCTATTGCAAGATTTATCTCCAAATGCCATTAATTAATTAATAATTAATTCAAGGCGTGAAAAGGGAGTTAACTGTGACGTTGAAATAAAAGGCAGTTTTTTCCCACCTATTGCAATTTAACAATTGGGTTTAAAAAATAATCCAGAAGGGTAGAGGTATTTGAAGCATAAAATAATTTTCTTTTAATCCAAATGACTTTTGTTGACACCGACAGAAATATCAAGGAAGCAACGGCATCCATTGTCCCCTATTGTTTGAAATGACAAGCAAAAGGCTTCCGTTTCGAAGGGCACAAAAAAACAAGAACGAGATGCGGCCGATTTGAGTTTTTCCGCCAAATTGTTTGTTTTCACAGTGTCGAGAGGGAGGGAGGGAGGGAGGGAGAGAGAGAGAATTAACCACCGACAACAATCTCCTTTCTCTTTTTAGACGAGTGACGCGAGCCATCATTCTTGAACTTGCTTTATTCCCTGATTTGTGTGGGTTATAGTCAACATCCATTCTCGTTATCACCACGTATACGAGTAGATAAAGCTTCGAGTTTTAAAAGGAAACGTTGCGCGTGTGAACACCTTCAACACATCCGGGCAAAACAAGGAACTATTTTTTCCGAAAAATTTATCTTAAAAGCTCTGTGAATGTACTAGAATTCTCATTCACGTAAATACAAGTTGAAACTACTTCATTTAAAGTGCTGAACTCAAGGTAAAAGGGGTAACAAGTGGATGGAAGCTTCGACGTCTCAATTACTCTCACAAAATTTCAGCCTCAATCCTTTGGACGGATCCAAGAACCAGGCAAACTGAGTTCTTTCTACTTTAAGGTAAGTGCTAAATAGAATTAAGGCTAATTTGCCGTTCTCGTAAGGTCATGATATAGAATTTAGATTTAAAAAAAACGTGGCGTATTCAAATACTTATTGGCAGAACTTCACCTACTCTTTGAGCTTTCAAGTAGTTTTTTAAACAATTAAGCCCCTTCAACAGCAGCAACTAGAAACATAAAAATGGCGAGGCAACTTATCAACAAAAAAGAGGAACGATAATTTCGGGACTTACAATCGCAACCACGACTGCTGGAAGAGCGAATACGAAAAACGAGCAAACTCTATCGAGGCACAAGACGAAATGCCATGTACTTCCTTAACTTTCACTGATAAACGCTTATACCTGCTCGCCTGTTAGAACAAGACCCCGGGTGTATTAAACACCACAACTTCATCTTCATTGGCTAACGCAGAGGAGGGGGGGGGGGGGGGGGGGGGGGGGGGNGGAGTCCGGTTTTGAGGTAATGAGTGATGAGAAATGGTATCGACTCATACCTCATGCACATACAACAACGACTGCTCACGTGCATTGAGAGCATGTAAAAGCAGTTGAGATGACTGGAAAGAAAGTTACAATTTTTAGTTGTAGCCTATCAATCAGTCTTGTAGTGCAAACACGAATGATTAAACCATCGAGCAATTCACGGATGTGAGTCCAAGTAAGACGTCGATAATAGAAAGTAGCATTCAGGTGAGGGGAACAAAAATGATATTGCTTGCGGCTGAAATAGTGATTTGTACACTGAGCTCATCGCAGAGTACCTTCCAGTACCTGACCGCCATCTCTCCAAATCTCCCAACTTCCATTTCTTCATCTGGAATTAACCAGTGCCCTGACGAGGATCGATAGTGGTAACCGCCGACTAACCAGACGTCCAAATGTTGGCAGCGCGAAAACTCGCGTTTTATAATGGCCCATCATTGGCCGATCCAACTACCAGCGCTTGTCTGAGAATTCGAATTTAAGTTCCATTCTTGGCAGTGTGAATGGATCACGAATTCAGAAATAAATCAACAATTAACTTCTTCATTTCTATCATTTCATTCATGATTAGCATTTCATATTTATTTAAAGATCATATACGGCATGCGAATTGGGCAATTAAATGCCTAGCCTCTCAGTTCTAGGACATTGAAATGAAAACTTAGTGAGGATTCATGATTATTTTTCTCCTATTTTGCCTATCTTTTCCGGCTCTTTTTTTCCAGCTCCAATAGGAAACTTATACCTTCTCTTCCCTTCCTTGAGCACACTGGATTTTGAATGATTGCATGAAAGTAGGCGGAATTCCAAAAATGCGATTACATGTCCGATATTTCCGTGCATGTCTGTTGTTGTAGCCAACATTGTGATTTTTAGCTTGATATGACTCACAATTTTTCGGATAGTATTCGGTACTACTACGGCAATAAATATTCCCAAAACATTCCAAGTCAAGGAATTGAAAAACAAAACAAATGCTTCACAATACTTTCATACAATATCAAAAAATTCAAAGCACTGAATTGGAAAGATAATAGCGTTCAATAGGAAGCCCTCATTTATTATTACTAATATTACTTGACTAGAATAATGCAGGCTAAGATTAAAGTAATTAATAATCTAAACAGGAACTCCACATTTTGCAAGTATGACAAGTCGTGCATCCATTCAATTTTCATCTTGGACGATAGTCAATACCAACTCACCTCTTTGGATTAAAAATTTAGTAGTCTTTCCAACCGGGCAGGCTTTGAGCACTTGGACGACCTCTATGTGTGTTAAATCCTTAACCCACTTGTCATTGACCTCAAGGATAATGTCACCGACACGAAGACCAGTGGGTTCTAGCACCTCTTTCACTCGCTGCCCACCAATTTGATCAGCCAAAGTGAAGCCGAATCCATTGGGCTGTTTGATGACCGACACTGGCACCATTACAACTGCGCCACATCCGGCTCCACTTTTTGACCTTGACCCAGAGGTCATCATGCCCTCACCTTCAGCCTCTTCACCGGAGAGTTGAGAAATGGTTGGTGAAGTATTCAACCGGCGGATACACAGGTCTGGAGGAGCGAAGGGCACACTAGGCTCTTTGTTCCCTGGTTTTACACTTTGGACTATGGAGGAGACCTTTAGGGAGAAGAGGATTCATAAGTATTTTTACCTGTTTTCACAGCTTCACTTTCTGTTAGTAGTACATAAGAAATTTCAGCAAAACAAACGTTCATAACAATTGAGATTCAGCTCTACACTCGACACCTGAGGGTTAAGAAAACTAATTCAAAATGGAATTTAAATGAAAGTCGTCAGGTTGCCAATCTGCCTCGATTAAAGAAACCAATTCAGGCATGAGTTAGCTTGTTTTCACTTAATTCGAATTTAGTAGGTAGTAACAGAAGCAATAAATCTGAGTTTTACAAATCTAAAATAATTTACGATAATGCTTATTGATAGTCGGCAGTTCAAATTACCATAAACCCACTTTGTCAGACATATTTTTAATACTAGGTTGGCAACTAAGTCATTGCCGATTTCAAATAAGAAGGCAAATTCGGAATTTTTGTTTAAAAATGTAACTTTATTCAATTAGATATTGGCCGTTCTTATCGAGGACCTTTTTCCATCGTCCTGGCAGAGTAAAAATTCCCCGTTCGTAAAATGTCTGGTCTTTGCTATTAAAAAACTAAATTAGGTGTGATCCGACATCATCCGCGTTGTTACAAATTTTACCATTTAAAGAGTTTTGCATGGAACGAAACAAATGGTAATCCGAAGGCGCAAGGTCAGGGCTATATGGTGGCTGTGACAAAACATCCCAACCCAGTTCCAATAATTTTTGCCGAGTAACCAAAGATGTGTGGGGCCTTGCGTTATCATGATGGAAAACAGCACCCTTCCGATTTGATAATGCCGGCCGCTTATCTTCAATTGCATCCTTCAGTTTTTCGAGTTCTTCAACATGCACATTTGAATTTATCGTTTGGTTCTGCGGCATGAGCTCAAAATACAAAATTCCTTTGTGATCCCACCAGACTGACAGCATAATCTTTTTTTGGTGAATCTCTGCTGCTTTTGATACTGTTTGGGCTGGTTGATCTTGCTTCACCCATGATCTCTTGCGAGTAACATTGTTATAAACTATCCACTTTTCGTCGCCAGTAACTAGGTTCTTCAGAAATGGATTATTCTCATTGCGTTTCAGTAGCGAATCACAGATGCTAATCAGTTGCGTCAAGTGAATTTCCTTTAACTGGTGAGGGATCCATAAATCAAGTTTCTTGACATAACCAAGGGTTTTTCATTTTTTTCAATGCATGTATGCGACACATTGAGCTTCTCTGCAATATCTCGTGTTGTGCTGTGACGACTTGAATCGATAATCTCCTTGATATAGGTTTCATCCACTTCGACTGGGCGGCCAGATCGTTGTGAATTTTTCAGTGAAAAATCACCGGAACGAAATCTTTCAAACCAATTTCGACACTGCTTTTCTTTTAAGGCTTCATCTCCATGTACGGCACATAACTTCCTTTGTGCTTGCGATGCGTTCTTGCCTTTTCGGAAGTAATACAATAAAATGTGTCGGAAGTGCACGTCCTGTTCTTTCATTTTTAAATTGGGATAAAAACAAAACTAAAGAACTAAACAAAAAAATTTTTTACTAATTAACCTAGAAGCCCATACAGTAAGAAAAAAATATAGGTTAGATGGTCTGGCCACGTTAACAAAACAAAGTATAGAGTGAATCTGTCAACAAAAACGGCAATGACTTAGTTGCCCACCCAATAGTATCCAAATTAGCTAACTGTGCTAATAACTGCCTGGCCCATTGAAGCGAAATATCTCCAAAAAAACTCTAAACACGTTGAAGACAAACAAAATTGTTGAGTCTCGTAGATTGAGAAAATCCTCCATTGAATATTATTTACAGGAGTGCGGGATGTGCGATAGACTTACCTCCTCGTGGTGCACCCTGGGCAATGTATACTCATGCGGCAAAAAAAGTCTATAAACCGGCAGTTGACTTCTGAGTTCAAGCTATCATGACCCCACTGTATGTCATATTCGACTACTTCCACAGTACTCACCTCACCTTACATTCTTCTCTACCTTTGTGTCTGTCTCTGTAACATCTTTAAAACACTCTTCTGTCCCCCCCCCTTCTCGACTTTGTTCGATTTGATGTTCCTCTCCCTCTGTGAAGCCTGAAAGCAACTAAAGGGCTATTGATAACTATGAAAGCGCCTGCCATTTGAAATAAATAAATTTACAGGAGTGCTTTATCGATTCTTTCGCCATAATGTGAGGATACATTTTTTAGCGATTACCTATGGGCTAGAACTAGATTCCTCAAGTCTCTATGCTGAGGAGTAGTGAATTAACCACCTCTGATTGGGCAGATATATATATTTAAACCATGAACTCAGTACAATTATAGGCAAACTAGTGATCAATACACGCCGACTGTACGGAGACATCATAAAGTAACGTTTTCAAAGTGGTAAGTAACATCGACGGTAAAAACACGGTGTACAAATTCATCCACGACATGTCTGCTTTCATGTCACAAATTGTTACCCGCTTTGTTGTGGCAGTATAGACTAGACAAGGCAGTAGACAATTTCCCTGGGGTGCGAAAACAACAATAACGCCTGCTTTTTTTACTGTTTTATTTTTGCATTAGCAGTGAATTCGCAGCATTGGTTACAGTGCTGACTCACATTCGCGTCGAAACTTCAAAAAGAAGCCTTTTAATGCATGTGGTAAGGTTGGTGAAGAGAAATTGAGGGGGACTCGGAGTCGGAGGTTATAAATAGAAACTCAAAGTGGCTCCATTAAAAAAATAGGAGATTGGAAATATAGAGACAAGATTTTAATAAGGGGTGTGCGATAGACTTACCTCCGAGTGGTGCATCCTGGGCAACGTATACTCATACGGCAAAAAAGTCTATTAACCGGCAGTTGACTTCAGACTCCAAACTACCATCACCCCACTGTAATGCGTGTTCAAGTACTTCCACAGTGCTCACCTCACCTTTTTTCTACCTTTGTGTCTGTCTCTTTTACATCTTTAAAACACTCTTCTGTTCCCCCCCCCCTCCACTTTTTTTCGATTTGATGTTCCTCTCCCTCTGTGAAGCCTGAAGTCAACTAAAGGGCTAATGATAACTATCAGAACGACTGCCATTTGATATAAATAAATAAATAAAGATTTTAATATAATAAACACGTTATTGAAATAATTGAACAAGTCGCTCGTAGGAGAACATGCATTACATAATTTAAAAAAAACAAGCATAAGTCTGAGATAAGAATTCAATCACTCTTTTTATTAAACTTATTCTCTTTTTTTAATAATTAACACATGAAATTGAAGATGCTATCTTGTTTTCGTGTTAACAAATTATGCAAAATAACACAATTGGGTTTTTTCCTTAAATAAGAATAAAAAATTGTGCTAAAATTCAAACTTACATAATACACATTTGAAAATCAACTTTACAAGGGGATCATGCTTATGCACTAAGGAATACGATAAAAATAAATTTTCATTTAACTGAATTATAAACCGAAGCAGACTGAAATTCAGGTTTTAAGGGGAAATAGAACAACATAAAAATCTGAAATAGGTAAAACGTATTTGAGGAAATTATTGTAAATTACATCTTTTTCTTTCGAGGGCATTAATTTGGCTAAATAACCGCGTAAATCTATTCCTCATTTAGACAAAAGATTGAAGAATAAACCATCATGTAAACTACATTAGCTACAAATTCACAAGTGGATACTTTGAGAACATGATATCAGTTTTAATTATTAGCGCAAAGAAGAAAATAAATTTAATAATATTGCCTCATTAGGTTTTTTTAACTGCTAGAAATCATACTTGCCAACTCGGATATTTTAATGTTCACAGTTATTTAACTCTATAGCTCATGATTAAATTCATTATTTTTTAAATAATTTAGTAATCTTCAAAAAAATGGCCAAAAATAAAGAAAAGAATTTTAAATGCTTGAATTAATTCTTAATTTTTTAATACTACAAGAAAATTTTTCGATTTATCAACCAATGACGAATTTTTATATTCGATAAACTTACAAATACCCAACTTTATCGAATTTATAAGACATAAGCTCTTGCGAAACGATTTTCCCTCGTTTTAATATGTATAATTTGAACGATTAAATCAGTTCTGTACTGCTTGCAAACATTTTATTAAAAATATTGTTAATAGAAGTACTTTTAAAGCCAAAATTTAACAAGAAAAATTAGCTTTTCTGTGGGGACAGTATAGACGGCTTTATAAATCTATTAATAATAATAATCTAATTTATTCGATCAGAAGTTCGACCAAAAGATGTATTTTGAACAAAAGATTGATTGTTACCTCAGCTGATATGGAGAAAGGGAAATTCGCTCATATCGGCTTCGAAATCAAAGATACTTATATAACTACATATGCAAATGAGGGGTGTGCAGTAGACTTACCTCCACGTGGTGCACCCTGGGCAACGTATACTCATACGGCAAAAAGGTCTATTAACTGACAGTTGACCTCTAACTTCAAACTAGCATGTCCCCACTTCCACTACCACAGTACTTACCTCACCTTTGTCTCTACCTTTGTGTCTGTCTCTTTTACATCAGTAAATCATTATTCTGTCCCCTATCACGACTTTTGTCACTTTGATGTTTCTCCTCCTCTCTATGAAGCCCAAAGTCAGCTAAAGGGCTAATGATAACTATCAAAACGCCTACCACTTGAAAAATAAACACCTACAAATGATGCACACTTTCATAACTTGAAATTGTTCAAGTTGATGTGTGTTGTTGTAGCATAAAATTGAAGACCAAAGGTTGGGTTCGCAAAGGCAAAGGATTCCATTGAACGACATTTATGTTAACTTTGCACTTCACGTACCAATTCAAATTTTTCTTAGTGCAGGAGAAAACGCGCGCGAAATCAGATTTAAACAAATTTGGGAGATTGGTAGAAATAGCCTAGTGTTCATTTATTCAGCTGCCAACCTGCACAAATGCCAACATTTTGAATCTTAGGACATTCTTTCTAATGTCCCCTCAGAACATAACAATTATTCCGACTAATTAGTGGAATAGCATGAGGTGAACAATCGATATTTGGCCCCGTCGCAGGTACTAAGGCGGTGACATATATGTCATGCCAACCCAATAAACTCTGAAATAGCAGATATTTTACTCTAAAAAAATATTAACAATGCAAATACTTTCATTTCGAGAAAAAAATGAAATTCAAGAATCAAAGCTATGTACCAATAATTAATAGTTTGTATTTTTATTAACTCCTTTTTTGTCCGTCATTTAGTAGCTAATGAAATATTAAATAGGGATTTTTTGCTCTTACTTTCCGAATAAATAAATTTTGACATCAATTTTCAATAAAGGAATCTTATAATTAGAATATTTAAAAAATAAACACTAAATAAATGCATCTGACCAGTCATATTTGTTTAAATTGCGGTGTACTATCAAGCAATATGGAAATATCTTATTTTAATATATGTGCCATTTATGAAATATTAGGGGACAAGACACTGTGAGAATTCGTTTTTGTTATTAATATCATAACAGTAAAATCCCGGGGGGGGGGGAGGAATAATTCCCAACTAACTTCAAAAATGCGTGAAGGGGTTTCAAATTGTTGAGACATTATTGAGAGCCGTAGAAAATGGGTTTAAGAAGGCTTAAAAATTTAGTTAGGAGTCAACAAAGTTTTCTAACTAAATCTGCAATTAATAGATGGCCCAGTGCTACTCATAATTACGTCTTGAAATCCGATTCTTACCTGAGGTTTCTTAACCTCGAGAGGATTTCCATTGGGAGCCAGAGAATACCTTTGGGACACCGTCAGGGAGACAGTGCCTCCAACAGGGATTGACTGAAACAGAGCAACAATTTGATCATGAGAGTATCCGAGAACGCTCACGCCATTGGCTGATACGATCACATTTCCCACACCCAGGGTTCCATCTTGAGCCGCCGGTCCACCTGGGATCACGTTTTTGACCTACATGTACGTATAGCAAAAAAAATTATAATTAAATATTTACAATATTGTGCAATCTAATGAAGGAGTTAGGTCGAGTGAGCACTGCTACTATAAAAAAATTTACTTGCTCAAGTCTTTAAATAAATCGAATTGGCGTAATGATCCATGGAATTGAATTAACTGGTCTGCAGGGTAAGACTACATCTTGAATAAGGTGGAATACAACGCATGTAGTTTAATCATTTTTATTACAGAAGAGAATTTAGACATCTACCTGCTTCCATAATTCGAACTTTGTGATATTCATCAGCTGCTTCTACTCCAATCACCCTCTCTCTCTTCCGTCTCAATATCACTTGGACTCGTTATAGTCCTCCCCTTATGGAGCAGCTTTCCAATGGCTAAAAATCCTAAATTTTTCCCCATTGTCATAAACAATAACAAAATAAGAATTTTTTTATTTAGAAGAAGAAAGGCTCTTTCATGTTACTGCGCAGGAAGATCGGAATACCGCAGATAGAAGCAATCCATGAAGCCACCTCTTGGAAACTCGAAGAATATCGATTTTCGTTCAAATGAGGCTCTTATGTTACGCTAACTTTTCCTCTGGTTATGGCGAATTCCTCAATCTCACTTTAGCCTCAATTTCGACCATTTTACTATTCTTCAAATTTTAACGATTCCGTTATTAAAAATAGTGCGTTTAGTGCTATGGCATGAGCAGAAACCCTTAAAACTGACCTTTGAAAAGCATTTAAGAAAGCCAACTTCTAAACCACTTTTTCGTAGCAATTTATCTCACAGACCCACCATGGGAATAAAGAATATGAATAAGGAAGCCTAGTTACATGACCTTTAGTGACCAATCATTACTGAATTAAAAATTAATCCAATGAGAGTGAAACTAGAATTGTACCCATTCATTGATTATTTATTCAACTACTGGAGATGTATTGTCATTAGGTTCATCTTCAGCCGAATTAAAGTATAGTAATGGAGTGAAAACTTTGTCAACTAAGCAGTGGCAAGGAAAAGAAAGAAAAATCAGTTCACCTCCTTTCAAGAAGAGGAGGAATTGAAGATGGTATCAAATCTACTTTTTACTGAGGAATGTGACATGAAGGTAGGACACATAAAATGTATTTTTCTTGTTCCAGACAAAAAGAATTCTGTCTTGGTGAGATGTACTTTCCACACAGAACATCGTATACTTTGTCCATTTATGACTCAACGACCTTTGTAGCGCGAATAGAATCTCTTTCCCAATAGCATGAGACAAAGGTGAAATAGCGTACACCTAGACGAACCCTAGAACAATCATATGCTCAAGTTTAAACTCGCAAACAAGTCATTAATAATTAAGGAGGAGTTCACTCAATTCCCTATTTATCTGATTCAGACGAAATAATTGAGCATAAATATACGGATATAATCGCAATACGCACAGAAATGCGTGTGATTGGATAACAACTTGTCCGTTGTGACGTATGGGGGGTGGGGAGATGTCGAAGTAATTGGACCGAACACTTAATTAAATTACCTGGTCATTAAGCCCTGAACATTGCAGACATGAATCCAACTGGAAACCTAGAAATTAGGACTTTGGAACATTGGGATACGGCACAGAGAGGAATACTTAGTATAAAAATTTGAATGACGCAACGCTTTCAAGTAACGTTTGATCCCTAAGACCCTGACATCACTTTCTTCTCCTAGACGACACTCCTACTGCTTTTCGTCTTTAGATGCGCAAAATTTCAGTTAGAGATTGGGAAGAGGGTCAAGAGAAATGCTAACTATCTATCTATCTATCATAAGGACTGTCATGGCATGTTTTTTTAAGGAGGACACCTCCGGCAAACAAAAAAGAGAAGACTTTCTAAAATTCTTTTGCCAATGACTGGGGAAAATAACCCAATCTTTGTTGGAAAGCACCGGATTGGGAGAGGGGGGGAGAGGGGAGGGGGCAACACTAACGACAAATGGGAGATAAGAGGGGTTGGCGGGAGTAAGTGGGGGGGGGGGGGGGGAAGGAAAAACTGTTGATATTTTTATTGGGGGATGGCATTTACTTGTTAGCTAATTCATTGCTTTCAAAATTTAAATTCTATGAATCGTAGTCAGCAATACTAACCGAATTCGTGTCCAGCGCCTTCCAACAAGTTGATCAATTAGAATAGTCGATCAAATCAATTCTACTAAATTCCTTTTCCCTTCCAAGGGGTAAAAATGAGGGAAAGATCACCTATGTAATTTCTAAGGCATCCTCAATAGAGCACATAGAGAACACATGGGATCAAAATCCAATATGAATACGCGCTGGCCGATCGTTCGGAACAAAACCAGGTAGAAGGGGTAATTAGCATGAGTTGGTTTGAATGTCATTCAACGTGACTTCACTTTTAATCTTAACAAGCCTGTCGGAAAAATGTTATATGGTAATTGGGCCGATAATTATGAATAAAGCACATCAATGGAGATAGTAATTTGCCTCGTCAAAATGGTAAACTTTAAGAAATAGTAAATAGAGACCAGGATGACAGAATATGCAGATCAAGCTATTTCCACAGAAATCGGTTATGAATTTGAATCCTAGGACAGTGTCGATTTTTAAATGTTTTGTTTTTGCATAAACTTCATAAGGTGCTTTTGTAACAACAATAGAATGACCTGTAGAAAACCAGGGTGTCCAGGACTTGATCCTCCAATAATCGTGAATCCAAATCCCTTGGGTCCTTTCACTAGCACTGCAGTCACCAGAGGCCCTTTGATCTGCGCCACATCATCCGTAAATCGATCACTGCCAGAGCTCACTGAACCAGCCACCTCAGGACAACCTCCATTAGAACTGCGTATACTTCCATTCCCATTCGGGTGGTTCTCTGCGGAAGTTGATGAGGCTGCTGAATTATAACTCCCAGTTATTGTGGCTTGGAGTCTTGCAGACTCCTCAAAATCCGCTTGAGTGGGAGGCTCGTATTGAGTCTTCTGGTGAATGTGATCGACGTAGAAGAGGCCGTATTCTGGATGCTCGATCATTTCCCATCCAGTTGGAAGGGGGATGTAGCTTAGACCTTGACCTGATGGAGACTGTTGAACCTGTGTCGAATATGGTTGCTGCTGTGCCTAAATAAAAAAAATACAAATAATTTACAACATTCATATAAGTTTGAAGACCAAGAAATCGTCTTACCAACTGTCTAGAAAGTAAAGCTTACTAAAATTGACTTTAATTCCACTAAGTTCCACCAGTCATAGTGTACTAAAATGACTTACTAATTTGTAGTGAAAGTAAGGCATTAAAGTGAAAACCTGCATGAAGTAATTGGTAAGCATAATTTCTCCATCCGAATGAAAAAAAAATATTGATTAGAAAGCCAATGTAATGTGCTTCAAGTACATATGAAGTCAGTTAAAACAGATGACTTCAAAGACTCTAAGGAGTACTTGAAGTTGTTCTACATAAGTGCCAAATATTCTTTTCTTTTCCAATTGAACGATTAGGAAGATGCTGCAAAATTATTTTGCAACTTCTCAATCGCTCAATTGCGCAAATTATGCCTATTCTATGCTTCTGCATGGTAGGTATTACCACGCCAAAATTGCGTTGGGGAGAAAGCCTAGGCAGCGTGTGGGAACACAAACTTTCTTCATTTTGTCGAGACGAAGAAGATTAAAAAATTGTGAGACTGCTATCAACGTTCACCTCACGTAACTGTCAAGCTAACCGAAGCAATGCTTGCCCACATATGGAGGACGTAGATACACTTAGAGGGAATCGGTTTCCCCTTGCCCAAAGCATAAATAGGTTGTTCCTTCCTCAACAAGCTTAATGCATTATTTGTCGATCACAAACACACACACACACACGCACACACAAAACTACCTTACATATGCGGATTTAGAAATAAAATGTTATGTTCAGAAGTTTAGGATAAGCGATTTTATACTATTGGATTGAGTTCATATCGTGATGTTCCATTAGACCACCCCCCCCCCCTGGCTAGGAAATAATTTTGAGAGGAACCAACGGAGAGCAAGCTCAAGAGAGAAATGAAATGAATCGTATGGTTTATGGACACAGCTCATTAAAAGCCCTGAAACTTTTTCTTTTACGTTGAGAAACCAAATGAGGCTTTAAATGCGCTCCAAAAAAAATATGGATAATTTGAGCAGATACCGCAAAACCATTTCTAGCAATTCACATGTAAAGTAGTAAGAATTAAGGATGTTTACGACAAGTGAACTTATTCGTAAGAAGATTTTATCATTTTTTTCTTAATTGTGGCAAACGAGTAGTGATTATGCAACGAGAACTATGCTACTCACGTCAGCCAATAAAATAAATGGCTAAATTTACGTTTCATTGGTCAAGGAGCACGACCCAATCAGAATATAATATAGTGAATCACCTCTTTCGCATTAGCTGATTCAGCCGAAATGGTGGAATTTCTATTATTTGTATCTGAAGTGGTGATACTGGAAGAACCGTTTTCAGTCATTCCCTCTTTAAAGGTGTTTTCAGCACCCTCACTAATGGTTGTCAAGTTGAGTGCTGAGGCGTTAGCGTCCGGTCTTGGTGTTCCGTAGTGGTTGCCTAGAAACGAGAAGGAAATGAATTAGTCAGATTACATAATAACCTAAGCAATACACAAGCCATGAAATAGAAGAGAATATTTTTTTTTCTCAAGTAAGATACAAAAAAATATGACCGTAAAAGGTAGAACTATTAGATGTACCTTCCTTGTATAATGAGGAAATGTAATAAATCACTAACGAAGGCAAATACAGATGTCATTATGCTGTCATATAAGACGGATAACCTGATATCACGTTGCAGAAGAAAAAAACAGAAGATTGATACTTCACCTCAGATATATCAAGAACATGAACAGATAAATTTCGGAATAAATTTTTCAGGTTCAGAAAGTTTCTCGTCTTCTGCGACACAGATTTCAGCTTAGATTTGAAGAAACTCGCCCAAGCTTTCATCTTAGTTTATTAAACTGATATGGAATTACTTAAATTTGAAAGTACCTAAAGTAAATTATGAACAAAAACAAAATTAAATTGATGATAAAATGTTTGCTAATTATTAATTGACCAAACATTTATGCCAGTAGTCCAGAAGACCTTTGTCTTGAACCAATTACTTCTCAGAATCCTTAGTTTAAATTTGAGTAGAGTTTTAGATGATTTCAGAGTAATGTGGTCTCTTAGGGATTTATACTGTCATGCAATTCACAGATCGTTTAGCTCTCAACTTAGGTTGAAAGAAAATGCAAAATTCGCCCCTATTTGATAACCAGTCTTCAATATTCAATTTTTGATTTTCTATTTTCAAAGTTAATCTAATCTCTCTGCAGAGTGATAGATACCTTTGTACATTCCAGATTCAAGGAGATGACCAGATTTCTCCAAAGCGATAAATCGTTCCACTTCAAGGAATTGATAATCCACTCCGTCGCGTTCTTCAGGTCTTGGTTCTCTCGTTGTGCCTAAAATGATCAGAGAAGTCAATTAGGTTTATGCATTTCAAAGCAAATAAAAATTAATCCCAAGCCTAGCTTAGAATAAAGAGTGTGTAGACAGAAAGATAGGACATTTAGGAATAAGGCAGTTTTGCTAATGAAAGGATTTACATGTTCATCGTATCTATGGGCGATTATCTTTAACATTATTATTTCATCCCCGAAAAAAGTACTAATTTATCTATAAATCCAGTACATTTTGAATTTATTTATTTAATTCCTAAGTGTGAATGACATATAGTTTTAAAGTAAAATCTTATGAATTTATATTTTTTAAAAATTTTTTTTTGTAATAAGTAACAATCGAATACAATAACACTTACATGGTACAACCCTTTGATAAATATTATTGCGCGTGACTTCCTGGAGTAGAAATTCTGGAGTGCCGACCTCAAACTGAGCCCCAAGAAACCGATTGAGATGGGCATCACCAGTTGGAAGGGCAGAAGGGGAAATTAATTTAAGGAGAACACGGGGTCGATCACCATTTTTGGAGGAATAAAAGATAGTTTCACAGAGTCGTACAGCATCCAAGTGTGTAAATCCAGAAATGTGATAATCTCCTATTTCAAGGATAATATCACCAGGTCGAAGGATAGAAGGGCTCTTTTTGGGAGAATTTGGAGTGGGTGATGATATTATTGGATGGTAGATTAGCTGAGAGGGAATTATGTTTTTGCCTACGGTACAAAAAAGACCCTCATCGGAACCGCCTTCAATGGGAAAAGGAAGCGATTTTTCAAGTGAACTGGCAGAAAGAAGAACTTCGTAAATATTTGCGTCCCAAGAACTGCTCTTGCCCTTAGATGGTGTCGGTCCCTTCGTTGAAGAGGTGTTAAATATGCCTGCCGAAGCCAGAGACATTACGTAGAATCTAAAATTTTTAAATGATTTAAATTAAAAAGATTTAGCTAATGGATTTTAATAGACTGTGCCTTGTATGGTATTGAATAAACCAATTTTATAAAGATCCTATAAAAATATTCAGTCATAAGTCATAAAAAGATTAGCGTTAGAAATTCTATTAAATAAGCATCAAAATTTAATTTGATTATGAAGGATAACAAAATTATTTAAACCCATTTCATAACGACTATTACCAACCTAACACAATCTCAGATCTGCATAATTAGTATGCGTATGACCTTCATATTTTACCCAGTCCGCTGTTACATTGAAATGGCTAAACTGTTGGCTTTTAATTTATCAGACTTCGAAATCAAGGTTTCATAAAGATATTCAACAAGTAAAGCATCAACATATTTGTCCATAAAAGGTTTAAGAAAATTTAATATCACTTGAATAGAGGATAATGAAATATGAAAATGTACCAACGGCTATCTCAACATATAAGCAGGTTGGATATGTTTAAGGTTTCAGCTTTAACTATTACTTTAATTCTAGACGCTTAAATGATATCCATTCACGTTGTCAAAGTTGGTTATAAAAATCACTCATGCGAAATCTACTTAATATATAAATATTACTTTTGATGTGGAAGTGCTAATGAATCAACTAATGAACGTTTTTAAATTGTTCTTATAAGAGTCCTCAAGTTGATAAACGCATTGTGATGTAGATGTATGAATTTTAATTATATTCTTTAAGGATAACTCAAATTACTATCTAGAAATTCAATATGGTATAGATGCTATCAAATTATATATATATATATATATATATATATATATCACCCCTGCTATATTTGCATGAACTTTGAACTGAGGTCAAGTAGAGGAAAAATAAACACAGTGCTGAGGGGTTCGTTATTCATTGCCCAAATTGTTAATAAATGCCGAAGTGTTCGTGATGATTGGCTGCTTTGCGTTTAGTCACGTTTGCTTGGTGAATTTGATGCGCTTCGGCGACTCATTATAGTTTTAAATCGATAGCGACCACTTTATGCCTACTTCCCAAGAGGTACGAATTCGAACCTTAAATCTATCCATCCATCGCCCATTTGCAAAATAAAGCAAATTGAGCTACGAAAAAAGTAAAAAAAACGTGCTGTCATTTCTCCCAGGAATGTGCAATAAAATAACTTCAATTGGAAACGGTACTATATCCTTTCCTATTAAGCAAAAATGGTAGAATATCAAGTGAGACAATTGTACCATGATAGTCACTTAAGTTTTTTCACTTATTTTATAAATTTTGTTAGGAAAATTCTATGAACTTTATAAATATCTGATCCGTGCTTGTTGTTGATCATAAATATATTCAACTCAAACATTATCTCATCTTAAGAAACAGGTTAGTTCACCTGGTTCAATAGAATATTTAATAGATGACCGAAAAAGCGACATACTTTCATTGATGCATATACGTGTTTATGCCTATATATGAAATCGAGAGAGGGGCGTCTGTTAGATTTCATTCGAAACCTTTATATTTCTATTGGTATCTAGTAGATCGATTTATCCACAATTTGCGACTGATATCTTGAGTCGAAGAATTAATTAAACAAATAATAATTTTAATCATTAACACACAGATTAATATAAAGGTAGTTATAAAATATCATTTATATAATTATAAATAAATTAATTTGAAACGTATCTTCTAGAAATAGCGAAAAATTGATTTTGCAATTAGGGAGAATTTTGAAACTTATCTCCTATTCCTTAGGCCACGACCGCGAATAAATGAGTGGGCTCTATTTGTTTTATGAAATTGATTAACATTACAATAAGAATTTGTTACAAACGCATCACCAGCTAAAGCTAGAAATGTTATGCACACTCGAACAGTCAATAACCTGTGATGTATTAATGATCGCAGAGGGAGTAATTGTATTTCTGAATGCGCAAACTTTATAGAATAAATATCGAACAGTTACTGCATTGTAGGTCTAGCCAAGATGGCATCTTAATGTTTAAAATCTTTCCTACTAAATGCTTAGTTTCTTAGATGTCGGAAAAGAAGCATAGCTATTTTGTAGAATACTTTCATACTGGGGAATTTTGTAACATTAATTGAAGTGTATTAGAGGCGGATTTGAATTGGATTAAAATTTTATAATTTGTTCATTAGATTGAATAAGCAATGAAATACGTGAAGATAAAAAAAATAAATTTTTATTCCAGTTGATAAAAGGGTTAAAATAGTCGACGAACATTTTTAGTAAACTTATCTTGATAGATTTTGAGGGCATGATAGATTTACTTCCACGTGCTTCACCATGGGTAACGTATAATCATATGCAGGCAATTGACAAACAACCATGACCCCACTGTAATAAACATTCTATCAATTTCACAGTACCTAACTTACCTTTTCCTCTACCTTTGTGCCTGCTCCATTTGTATATGTGCATCAACCTTCTGTTCCTCCTCCCGACCAATTGTGGCTTTGGTATTCCTTCCCTCTATGAATTTCAAAGTCGACTAAATGGTAAGTGATGACCATCACAAAGCCTGCCATTTGATGTAAATAAAAAAACTTAACTGCTTAACGTACAATCCAATGTAAAGGTATAATAAAATCACATAACACAAATAAACAATATTATATTTTAAAAAAATAATATTAATATAATTTATAATTAAAACACAATTTTTTGATTACCTTTTTAGTTGCATTGAAAGAGAGTCACTTTTGTTTATACTCATCAACCTTGTCAGGAATTGCGGCGGGTATCACAATTGGTCCGCGTTGTTCTGTTCCTTGATTTGTTCCCTTTTTTACGTACTTCCCTTTATTGTATACGAATAAAATGCCGCATATATGCCAAAAATGTGGAGCCTCTTTTAATCGACCTTCGAGATTGATAGTTCATCAACGAATTCACACAGGAGAGGTAACTATTTACTAATTTTTTTCTGTATGTATTGGACAATTTAAATGTTATTTGATTGTTTTAGCGGCCTTTTAAGTGTCCCTGTGGGCGTAGTTACATACGCCAGCAGCATCTGAAAAGACATTCGATAAAATGTTCTGGCCAGCCTAGTGAATACAGGAAGCCCAAATCCCTTCTAAATAAATCAAATAATCTTAATGAATATTTTTGTCCAAAGTGCAATGCCGGACCATTTTCGAAAAAGAAATCTGTTTGGGCTCACATTGCCATCGTACACGGGTTCGTGATCTTTGTTTTAGATGCTCTTGAGTGTTTGTGATAACTGTGTGATTTTCATTGCAGTGAACGCCGATTTAAATGCGGAAAATGTGAGGCAGCATTTCCAACTCAATCAAAACTCGATCGACATTTAAATCGACATCATAATCTTCAATGCCCTAAATGCGCCATGGCTCTTTCTGATCCAGATTTTGTTCCTCTTGGCCCTCTTTTCAATCCTAACCAACGATTTGAAGACTTTTCTGAACTTCGATTACATATGGCTGAGGCACATCCTAAGCAAAGTTGGTTTAATTCTTTTTGGGCTTTATAGACAAAGTGAAAAATTTGTCGTGATTTCATATTTTATGCGCCGTCTTAAATATTTATCTACTCTCTCCTCAATATTCTAATTTTCGCATCATTCTCTTTACTGCTATTTTTTTGAGTTCTTTACATTCCTTTTTTTGCTAGTCTGTTAGCCAAGCTTCATTCAGTTTATATCTCCCTTCTACTTTGTCTTTTTTGTAGTGAATGTCGTAATACTTAGACAGTATCTTTACAAGGTATTGTCTTATCCCAACCAAAATTTACTTGTTTCGGCTGTCTAAATCTATTTGCTATTCTTGTTGCCCTACAGTCATGTTCATATATTTATTCTCGCTTAAGAATCGTTTGATACAAATTTGCACCTTTTTTGTACAAGTCTTGACAATAAACTATCAATAGTTTTTTGACCCATTGGGCTCTATCTATCTGACAAATCAGCTATTGAGCTGCTTACTTGTGTCTCATTTCTTATTGTTTACATTTTTTCAGACCGAAACTAATCTCTTAACGGTTCGGTTTGCCCGCACTCATCACAATTTTCTGTTATTAGTACCGCCGTGGTTTACTTAGCACTTTTTCTCCTTCATAGAATTCACTTGTAAAAAATGTGAGGCTCAATTCTCCCGTCTTTCTCAACTTCAAGCACACGAGACCACTCATCTCCCACTAAAAGAGAGGAAGGTCTTCATATGCCCTCACTGCTCGGGATCCAACGTAACGGGAACTAATGAGGAGACCGGTGAAGCCGATATAGATGTTCCAAAGCCCGTGGCATTTGCCTCCAAACGTAGCCTTCAGGCGCACATTCGAGCTGTTCATGCGATCAAGCTCCGACGATTTCCCTGCACATACATCAATTGTCCTGCTATCCTCTCAACTAAAGTAAGTTTCAACATTTTTATTAATCCCTAGATGTTAGCCAAGGTGGTTGTCAAAAGACCGTATTGGTATAGGATATAAATTTATCACCATGAACCCTTATTGTGTTACGTTGTAGTTAAAGCCTATATTGGCTAAACCTACCTTTATTCTTAATTGCCGAAGTAGCCTATTTTATGACTATTTTCACTTTATATTAACTATTATTTATTCTGAACTTACTTTGCTCTACTTACCATTTGGGATTTATGTTTGTATTCATTTATTTGTACTTTTGATTCGGGATCTTTCGTAAGAAATCAAAAGTGCCCTCGTTTTCTTCTTGGCTTATATTGATGAATGCTATTAGTCTTGGCAGTGTTTTTACTCTCCAAGTGGTGGAATTTCTCGTCGTTTTCTTTGCTTATTTGATTGATTTTAAGAATTGGGAATGACATCAAGCACGTAGTTATGAACTACTTTCATCGCAGTTTTTTCTCATGGGAAAATTAGTCTTTATTACTTACTGTCTGCATTCTCACATTTGGGACTTATTCGTGCTTTTATCCAGACTGAATTATGATTGTTTGGGCAGCTAATTAGCGTCAAAATAGTTTAATAATCCTTGCATCAGTATGTACTTTTTGCAAATCATATTACCATAGGTCAGGTCGTTTTTTTATCGATTTTACGGAGGTATCTTCGAACTCTAATAGTAGTTTGCGCAGTTTGTAGCCTTGACAGAAAATGCATGTATTCATCCACGTCTGGTGAACGCGAAAGCGTTTAGAGACATCTTTGACGGTAGACTTGGATCCCAAACATCTAGCGGAAAACTTTTCCTGTTATAATGAGGTTGTTTGGATTGAGCGGGTAATCTAAACTTTGTTTTTGTAAATGGTGACCGCGAAGGCAAACTTCCAACATCCCCTACACAAATAGTTCAATTTAACTTCGTCTCAGATCACCCATCTATGCTCTTTAAACGTCCTTTTTCTTCATTGGCATTCTTTTCCTAATTTCGTCTGTTTTTTTAGCCTATAATCTCCCATTTTCGTTCCTTCTAGCAAAAGCTCCAGGCCCACTTGTCTCGCCACAAAGAGGCAGCATCTAACCTGGAAGTCATTCGAGTATTTCAGCGTCCTTCTCTCCATCCACGTTGGACGCGATTCAGCTCACCTTTAGACCACGAAGCACAGTCAAGTCCAAAGCGGCGCAGGAAGTGTGTTCCTCTTCGTGATATGCGAGAAGCTTGGGAGACTGACAGTCAGAGTTCCATTCTGGCTGCGCTTAATAGATAGTTCATTACAAAAATATTTTCCAAACTCTTTCCCATTCTCGATGGCTGTGATTGTATATATTTATGTACAGATTTTGTTATCTTCTCTATAAATGGTCTTTCTATCTGCTAATTTTGACAAATTGTTTTTAAGATGTGTTGGAAAGAATGTTTCCTTTGTGGGGCTATATCGTTTTGAACTGCATACTTTTTGTGTTGTGATTAATAGCGTAATGCTTCGATGACAAAAATGCTTCAAATTTCAAGGTGTGTGAATTGTTGAAGCTGGCTAATCGTGACCGGCTTTTCCATTGAGTGGATGATTGGGTGTGGGTGGTTTTGTTATAAATTCTCAAATCAGGTGAATTTTGTCAAGAAGCGCGGTCTATTTTCAATTTCCAGAACTGTCTCTACTTTACGGATTAGTAAGATTAAGGAGGGGGTGGGGAGAGCGTCTTGAAGGATGGCACAATGAAACTACATCCATCAGAAATGTGACGCTGCAATTAACATCTGGAAGGAGAGGGTCAGGTCAGTTCTTTGGCTTACTTATTCGCTCACCGTCACTATTTCCGGCTAACACCGTTTAGCAATATTTGGCTATTTATTTTCAATTCAAGGACAAGTTGATGCTCTTTCACTTTTCTGATTGGTCAAAGCTTAGTTGACGATTTCTAGGGCAAGGCCAATAGTCGATCTGTGCAATTTTTTTAAACAAAGGGCCAATTTAAAGTGATAACACATTTCGTTGCTCGTCAACAGAAGTAAACAATAAGTCTAGCAGCATCGGTTGGCATATAATTGGGATTAAAAACGATTAATTTGAGTTGCGCTGGCCAATGGTCTGGTGCACGAGGGGGCGAGCTTGAATAGAAGAGGTTTTTTTGTAGATAAAGTATTTAGAGGGTCTCGTGGAGTTACAGGCCTACTTGGAGAATAGGGAGGAGGCGAAACAAGAAAGGGGTAGCCTTATCAAGCACGCCATCGACGCACGTGACAGCATGGCATGCAGTCTAAGGCTAATTCCCCATATGCCATTAAATAGTCATTATTTCATTTATCTATTGGTAATGGTGACCTTCCATTAGTTTGTGATGTTGCTAGATTAGCCGAGTTTCGATTTACTTCTTAAGCTATTGGTTCGCATTTTGCACTGGATTTCCGACATTACATTCATATGTCGAACTTGAGTATAGATTTAAGCTGGCCTTGACAAGACAGTTGAAATTTTCTCAACAATTGTCTCTTAAACCCTCCGGAAACATACAGCCGTTGAAGCACTTCTAGACTCAAGAGTCAAGTACAAGTTCGAGTACAAAGTGGTGAAGAATGCTTGCTCAGATTGATGCAAATAGCATTAGGAATTATCTCCTACAGAGTTCTGCAATTCAGTCTGAGATGTTTGATGTACCTTTGGCGAGTGTAGAACGAAGTTCCTATTTCAATCAATGCCACCCTTTCCTTATTATAAATAGGTGGATTAGTAATTAAACAATTTGATACTTCAGAATACCCTTTCAATCTTCCAGTAGATTAGAGAATGTAAAACATTCTTTCGTAAAATTGGATGAAGCACCTATTTCAACCAATTTTTTCCTCCCTTATAGTTTTCCTTATTTGACTCAGCATTAGGCGAATACTGTGACCAATCCGATCATTATTAAAATGAGGACAAGTTGTTTACTACTAACGATGTTGATGGTAAAAATAGGGTCACTTTGTACTTTTGCCAAATCAAAAAACAACGTATCAAAAAATTGTCTTGAATGGGGGGGGGTATAGCCTGTGGGACGCGTCATCGCATGCGCGTACACATAGGCTTGAGGTGCGGCCGTACAACTTCGCGTACGGATTGAGGACATGAGCACGCAGCCAATAGGAGCTCAATGGCCCTCACTTGTTTTACCAAATCCACCATGTTGTATGACTAGTTTCCTTCCTGTACTTACCTATTGCGTGGTTTATCTACTGAATAAACGTGCCCCGTGCTAAACGTCTGTTTCCTTCATAGCTGGGCTATAGCTTAGCTGGTTCTGGGAGTCTAGCTAGATGTTGGAGAATCTGCCAAAGAGATTTCTGAGTCAGTCAGGCTTTTCTAAGGTAGCAATCCGCTACAAGCCTTCCAGGTAAGTATTTAAAAGTAACGAGAAAGAGATGACTGCGGAGTTAGAAGGTTTTTGATCTCGAAATCGACGATTTCTGCTTAATTCTAATTTACGTTTTGGTGTTGTATTTGCCTTAAGGTCCGGGGTGCCCGACAAACGTGGTACATCCTGGGCAATGTATACTCAAACAACAAATAAAGTCCATAAACGGGTAGTTGACTTTTGACTTCAACCTACCATGACCCGACCGTATGTCATATCCGACCACTTCCATAGAACTCACCTTACCGTTTCCTCTACCCTTGTGTCCGTCTGTCTCTTTAACATCTGTGAATCATTATTCTGTCCCTCCTCTCGACTATTTGGCACTGTGATGTTCCTCCTCCCCTCTGTGAAGCCCGAAGTCAGTTAAAGGGCTAGTGATAACCACCATAAAGCCTGCCACTTCAAAATTAATAAATCCCTTAAGGTCCTCATTGCTTGAGTGACCTGTCTGGTCAGAACTCAGAGTCAATGACGCTTGACTTACAGATATTCACTTATATTCATTTTCACTCTACGAAAATTGCTATTATCATAAAACATCTGAAGAACTCGTATAAGTATGGGCCAAATAGCATGCATTCTCCCATCTTCTCATTCCCTTCTGTCGTACCGCCGTGGACACCTATAGAGGACGCATTGGGCCCTCCATCGAGTCCTGACTGAACTGTTCATTTACTCCTCCTTTGTAAATACACACCCTTCATCAGCACTTCCATCTCTTAATCGTGGTTGCAGTGCTCTTTGTATAAACCCTGCGTCATCAAAGTTCTGCTTTTTACTCCTCGTTGGGAAAAAAAAATGGAAGAAGTGCAGGACTTAGAGAATAGCTAAGATGGATGGGGGAGGCGTTAGAACTGCAACTATCAACAAAGGCTTTCAATGGCCAACCTCTCGGTGACTGAAGTCTTGGAGTTAAATCCCTCCATATCAAAATGCCACAGACTATAATTTCTCATTCTTGATCTGACTTAAATCCGCTTGTTCGAATTGTCAAATAATCAAACCCCATCGAGCAACAATGCTACTTCACTGTGGTGGGAATCGCATTTGAATTGGCAGATCACATGTAGTTGAAAATTCTTCAAAAGTGGAAAGGGCTCTATAGTAATACCGGGGTTTTCCGAAAGTCCGCCCATCCGAATAAGGGCCCACGGGGGCGATTATTGGGCGGATTTATGGAAAAAAACCGGCAGATTCTTGGCCGACTATGCCCCGATTTCATCTGTAGTGTGTGTGTGTTAAGGTTAAGTAGGGCAGTCCCAACAGGAAAAAGTGATTGGTAAATGCAAAATCTTTACATTTAAAAGAAATTCAATTGACAAGATAAGTACACAATTGTGAAAGAGTTTTACTCAAAATAACCACCAATAGTGTCCATTATAGCCTCACACTCCGGTCCCCCTCCCCCTCCCCCCAAAATCTGGAACAAGCTGATTCAAACCCATTTTTTCTCTGTCACGTAGGCACCTGGGGATTCAACTTGTCAAAATTAGATGACAAACAATAAGACAACGGAGCAGGCAGAGGAAAAGTGAAGACGCAGATTCGATACTCAAGACCACAATGGCGGAAGGAGGTGGGAAATTTTGAAGCCACATTCTCACACAGGCGATGGGAGTGGCATTACAGGTTAATAAGAGAATACGAATAAGGCAACCTTAATACGATGTGCAACAAGATTAGTAAAAAATAGATTACAGATTTGATGAGGGCGCGGTATTTAGGGGGTAGTTGGACATGAATAAGAAGTAGAAGGTGCAGGTACAGAATGCGGAGATTTGGGAGGGAAGAATACGTCTTTGGTGAGAGTACTGACAACAGAAGGGACTTGTTTCTTTCCAGTGTATTCAGCAGTTGAACCCAGGGATTCAAACTCAAAGGCGACTTCGTAATTCACTCGGGTTAGAATAGACATTAGATCCAGAACACGTCCGTATTTGCGCAGACCATTATTCAACGCCTGTATGAACCATGAACCATACACCGAATTTCTGAACGCGTAATAGCCTAATAAGAAGGCCAAAAGTAGCCAATAGTTAATTGGTAATATTTGAACCACACGCAAAAACCACATTCAAAAGAAAAGTAAGACAACAATCAAGTCATGCTATTTTTTTGCATTTTGCTCCGTGAGTTTCCGCGTGTCTCACGTAGCTGGTCTTATAAAAGAAATGCCAATCATCACGCTGTTTTAGTTCATTTAATAGGCCTTGCTTCGCTTGACATGACGATCAGAGATAATTACTGACCATTTTAAAACATTTAAGGGAATGGATAAAGCTTTTTGCAATTTGCTGTCCTATTGCTTTATAGCACTTTTCTTTGGCACGGATTTTAGATCAATAGCTGAATTTCCTCACATCTAATTTAATGTATTATCCAAATGGGTCAAAATATGGATTTGTGGGTGAAGTAATTCCAAGATTATGGAGAAACGAAGCACAATATACCAAAAGGACCCCCCCCCCCACCCCCGATTGAAGAAGACCAGATGGACCCTCTATTCCAATAAGAGAAAGCGGGGCGAGAGATAAACACTTGAACGTCGAGGTTCTTGTGATGCCCCAAACCAATTAAAGAAATAAAAAACTATTTATCCGATCCTCCAATATTAATCTAGAATTTTAAAATAACTAGCGACGGTTAAATAAAGTAGAGGGATTGAGGAGAAAGGCGAGAAAAAACTTAAAGGGATACTGAAAGTGGTAAGAAGATGAGTGAGGACCGACGAATACCAAAAGTACTTTAAATTGCCACATCCCAATTGAAGTCGGTCCTCACAAGTACCGGACTAATTAGTCTAGTAGAGTGGAAGTCCACTGCATAAACTCATAGAAAGACACCTTAATGATTGTTGGTAAGGTACATAACC